AGCTATTACGATTTTGATTTTTTTTTTGCAATTATCATTCACTGAGTGTCATTTTCATTTATTGAGGTTAAATCTATTTTTCCCTCCAAGTATGTTGACTTTGAAAAAGAAATTTGACAAAAAGAGAACTAACATTTTCCCATTATAATAACTTTATGATTATCTTATTGATTTTGTGGAGGGGAAATCACCACCGTTTAATCTCATTTATAATCACTTTATTAGTAGAGTTTGAGGTGTTATATGGACATACAAAAAAAAAAAATCTTAAGGTTCTATTTAGTATTTTTAGCCTCTAATTGATCAACCTTTTCGTTTTCTTTTTTGTTCAAAAAGAAAAATAAGTTTCTTTATTTGGCAACTGACTAATTGCGGCATAAACGAAGTCATCATTTTTAATTGATATTTACTTCCACTAAGCCTTGAAATGTTTTAATGATTATCTAAAGCTGAATTTTTCATAAAAATTAACTTGTATGGTGTTTATAACCTCATCTAACCAATAAATGCTACTTCAAGTATATATAGTGATATTTTTTTGTTTGATTAACACCTTTATTGTTTTCTCATATATGATAAATGACGATTTCATAGTTATCTTGATCTCTTTAATATTAAATATTTTGATGATATTTTTGTCTTCTTTGATACTCAATTAAAACATGACCATCATGTCCATTATGTTATCTAATGCTTTTAACAATACAATATTTTTACAAGTTGGAGAAGTGTTTTGTTGATTAAAATTTAATAAATTTTTTGGAATATATCATTTTCTTACACAACATCATCATCGATTGAACCAAGGTTTCCACTATTCTTAAATTTTAAAAACATAACCTTTATTCATGATGTCTAGTATTTTCTTAGCTTGATAAACTTATATTAACATTTTATTTAGGACTTTATTATAAACATGCTTATTTTGTATGGTAGTCTTCTGCCTAGATTTCTTTTAATTTTTAAAAATTTCTATTCACTTCTGCCTCAATTTTCATCCATTCAAAGAATATAAAATTATATTTTGTTGAATTAATTGCTTTAGATTTTACTTTCTTTTATTGTAAAATAAATCAAATAATGAGTTTCACCCAATTTCTTCCAACTCTCGAAAGTACATTATAGCAAAGATCAAATATTATGCCTTTACCAATACATTGTTATCAATTATAAATTTTTTTGAATTTTGATATCATTTTTCTTGAATTTTCTCTTGATATAATCATTATCTACATTAATTATAGGAACTTCTGATATTTCTATTTGACACATATCCTCAATAGTTTCTCAAATCTCTATCCATTTTAAGTTTGTAATTATCTATTACTTAGGAAAAATAAAAAGGAAAGTTCATGCTTTTACTTATTAAATATCAAGAAATTCCTCTTAAGATTTTGACTCAGACTTTTGAAGTTAAAAAATATGCACAAAATAATCAATGGTATATTTTTCATTATGCATTCAAGATGAGATTTAGCATATTCCTCCTATTATATTTTATTTTTTAGATTTACACAAAATTGCATTTCCATTTATTGTAATATTATGCAAAGTCAAATTTTTTCTTATAATCTTCTGTTAGGATTAAAAGTTATAATCCCTTTAATTTATTTTATGTTTACATAAATTTACAATTGCGATTAAATATTTACACAGTAATATTGATAAGTAGAGTAAAAGAAAGGTGAGAAAGAGTAACTTATATATTTTTTTAATAATTCTTTATGAAATTCAAGGTAGTGTATCGTATCATTGTAAAGCTTAATATTAAAGATGAAGAATATCCCAAAAAGTTTCATAAAGTATCACATAAAAATAAAAATTATCTCTAATAGCTCATGTTATCAAGATTACATTTTATGTAGATTTCAAAATTTTGCAAAATAATACTCATAGTGCTATTAAACTAAAAGGTGTCAATATTGTATTAAAAAAAAAACCAATCTTGAAGATTAAAAACAAAAAGGAAATGTCTAAAGACATGAGTTTTTTTTTGTATATACCACTCAATTTTATCAATACACTACATTTACTATATGCTTTTTTACAAAATTGAAATAAATTTGAATCAAAAAATTAATATAATTTTTACATAAATATTTAGGTATATTAATAACTCTAGCTCACAACGACTATAATAGTGAGACCACAAATATATAAACTAATTGATTAAAAGTATAAATTGGAAAGAAAACAAGATTAGAAATAATAAAAAGAAATTCTATAAAAAAATTCTATAAAAATTCAATAAAGACAATAAAAAAAATTCATTTGAAAAAATATTTCATGGCATCTTTGAGGTGTGCGATATTGTAGTGTGTCAGGAAAACATATATACCACCATATTTATCATCATTATTTTTTCCACCCAAAACCCAGAAACATAAAAGACATTTATTGAAAATCAAAAAATTACAATTTTTTTAAAAAAGTAGGATGGCATTCTTTTTCACATAATTTCTTAGGCTTTTTGTCATTATATTTATTTTTAACTCATGATCACTATCTTTATTATCTTCTTTTTTCTTTCTTTTATATAGTTTAGTTACACTATGCAGTAGGATAATTATTGTAGCCTTTAATGCTTGAACTCTGAAAATAATGATTAAAAAGTTTAAATTACTAACACTAGAACCCATAAAATTGTTTATAACATTTTTTTTGATATATTTAATTTTATTCCATTGCTAATCTATCCTTTTTAATTAATTAGTTTATATCTTTTTGGTCTCACTATTACATAAGTTGTGGGTTAGGTTTATTACTATTCTTAAATATTTATATCAAAGTTTCATCAATTTCCTAATTTAAATTTTTTTTAATTTCTTAAATAAGATTATAATAAATGTAGTGTATTCATAAAGTTTACTGATATATATAAAAAATACTCATGTATTTAAATATTTACTTTTTGTCTTTAATCTTCAAGATTGCTTTCTTTTTAATAAAATAGTCACACTTTTTGGTTTGATATCATTATGTATATTATTGTGTATAATTTTCTTGATATCATGAGATATCATACATAATTTTTATCTTTACATGGAAAATTATATTTTTCCATATTTGGAAGTGTTTGAGTTGGAGTTTATTGTTATTTTTTAAAATCTTAAATCACTAAATCTTGAGTTATTAGTTGAAACTTTTTGGGATATTCTTTATCTTCAATATTAAGCTTTAGAACAATATAACAAATTACCTTAATTATATATAAAATTTTTAAGGAAATAAATAACTTACTTTTTCTCACCTTTCTTCTACTCTACTTATCAATATTATGATGTAAATCTTGAATCTCAGTTACAAAGTTATGTAAACATAAAATAAAATTAAAAAAATATAATTTTCAATCCTAAGAAAAAATTAGAGGAAAGGAGTTAGCTTTGCACAATACTAGAATAAGTGGAGATTCAATTTTGTGTAAAGCCAGAAAACAAAGTATAATGGGAAGAATATGCTAAATCTCATCCTACATATATAATAAAAATGTATCATTGATTATTTTGTGCACTCATGAAATTTTCTTAACTTCAAAAACCTAAGTCAAAATCTTAAATTGATTTGTATCAAGTAAAAGCACAATTTATTTTTCTTAAGTAATACACAAAAACTGAAAATAAATAGTGATTTAGGACACTATTGAAGATATGTGTCAAATAGAAATATTAGAAGTTTTTATGATCACTATAGATAATGATTATATAGAGAGAAATTTCAATAAAAATGATACTAAAATTCAAAAAGGTTTATAATTGTAAACAACTCCTTATTAAAGGCATTATAATTGATCTTTGCTACTATATACTTCTAAGAGTGGGAAAAAATTAAATAAAACTCATTATTTGCATTCCATTTTGCTCTCTTTTATATGTTAGTCTTAGCATTAGAATGTTAGATGCTCTAGAATTATTCCTACATTGTTCCATACTCTTGTCCCTTCATTTTTGGCTGAATGCTCTTGAGACACTCTTTATTCTAGTTCTTTACTCCTTAGTTACAAGATAAAAGGATAAAAGGTGAAAACTATGTGAGTATACCTAAGAGTGGTTATGTAAATCAGGAGTGGAGAATTAAGTGGGTGTTTAAAGGTGTTGCTATTAACAACTGTGGTGTCATAAAGAGTCTAAAGTATAAAATTGCCTATGTTAAACTATATAACAATTAAAAAGTTTATGGAAGGGGAAATTATGGCAAGTTAAGTGGTAGAATTTTTTCAATGTTCTCAAAACCAATTCTAGGTAAGTTGGTACTTAGAAAGATAAGTGTAAATTGTTTATAGGATTATGCAAAATTAGAGTAATGCAACAAAAGTGTGGCCTTGAAGCTTGTCATAAAGGAATGAGATCACTCCTCATTGCTAATCATTTTTTGAAGAAAAAAAGATGATTTGATCTTTCGTTCTTGATAACTCTTTTTTCGGTCTCAACTTGACTAGACTTAACCTTGCATAAGTTTATGAGAAAATATGGCAATAATTACTTGAACTAATAGATTAATCCTTATAATTTTAATTGATCCACTTTATATCTATGAAGGATGCACTATTGTCGTGCTACACAACTATGTACTAGCATATTTGCCACTCATAACAAAGGTTACTTTTTACCCATAGTAACATGAAACCACTTATGGTAACCACGAATAGGCCAACATTAATCCTATTAACTCAAATGTAACCTTTAAGTTATTAATGTGCACTCATATGCCCAAACATAAACTTGTGCAAATGGTATATCTCAAATCCATTCTATAAGCCCAAGAAAAAGCTCACACAATATAGTAAGAAAAAGATAATTAAAATCCATATCTAAGGGACACATGCAAAGGTATAATAACTAAACATGTACCCACTCAGATCATTATCTTCATCTCTGTGTATGTAATGAAATCAATTTCTCAATCTCATTTAAAAGTACTTATTAAGATTTATCCTATGATATCAAATGTAGCATACATGATTTTTACCTATGGTAGGATAACCACAAAGTGAAACCTAAACCTTTGGACAATGGAACTCAAGTTTCAAATCTTTGGGCCACTAAATAAAGATACAAGGCTAAACTTTTGAACAAATAAGCAAAGAGTGAAGAATTGAAGGAACTAGAGTATAAAACTATTCCCAAGCATACAACTCCAAGATCCAAGCGACAGGAAGATGATCCTCTGCACCAGAAACAAGCTCTTCGACGTTTCCAAGGTGGATTCGATCAACATGTTTACCATTAACAAAGTTCTCCAAGATCACTTGCTACCAGTAGAAGAGGGTGAGTTTCTGTTGATTGTTTTGTTTCTTTGATCTTAGCGTGTGCTTGCTTGTAGGCTACGAGGACATTGACATGCCCAAGAAGAAGAAACTCGATCGATCTGATGATCATCCAAGACGTTCCAATTTCCAATGTCTCGAGCCGAGGCGGTGGACAGAGTGTGGGAGTACATCCTTGACAAGGATCTCCAGGAACTATAAGATCTGGACGGGTGGAATGAAATCATTCTATCACTGTCTGTTGATGGATCTCTTAAACAAGTTTGCGAGCAGCACGTAGGAAGCACCATGGCTTCCAGACTCTGCCTTGAGCGCTTCCTCGGCGGCCCAGGTCCCAACCTCGCAGTCCCCATGAGTCTTGCAAGCGGCCAGCAAGCTCGTCCAGTCCTGGGGATCCGGCAACACGGGCATGCAAGCTATGAGCTCTTGCGCCTCCCACAGATACCCAGCTCGTCCCAGTGCATCCACCATGCAACTAAAGTGCTGCTTCCCGGGGCTCAATCCAAAGTCGGACACCATCGAGCGGAAGCACTTCCAGCTCCGGTACACGTCCCCACGATGGCTGAATCCCAGCAGGAGGCTCACAAAGGCGACGCTGTCGGAGGTCTCGTGGGCGATCGCGCCTTGCAGGTTTAGAGCCCCAAACATCTCCGCCATCAGCTCCATGTCTCCCTTGAGAGCATACATCCCAAGCATGGCCGTCCACGACACCAAGCTCCAGTCAGGCATGCAATCGAAGAACGCTTTGGTTCTCTCTGGGCAAGAGCCACCGTTTTCGTCATTGGCACGGGCATTTGCAACGAGGAGTGCCGTCCATGAGCCAGGCGTTCGAGCGGGCATGTCGTGGAAGAGCTTCTGGGCTTCCTCGAAGATGCCGTGCTGCGCGAGCCCGGTTAGAAGCGCCGCCCAGGACTCGGTGTCGTGCTCGGGCATTGCGAAGAACAAGCTCTTGGCCTGATCGATATGACCGTGTTGGGCATAGGTCGCTACCATTGCGTTCCACGCGACAAGATCTCTCCTGGGCATGTTTTCGAAAAACCATAAGGCGTGATCGATCTTACCGCTGTTGGAAAACGCAGTGAGCATCGAGGTCCAGGAAATCATGTCTCTGTCCGGCATCATTTTCTCAAACAGAAACTTGGCTTCACTGGCCAGACCATTCACGGCATAGACCATTAGCATCGAGTTCCAGGTAACGAGGCTGTGCTCTTGCATTGATTCGAACAGTCCCTTGGCCTCGGTGATCCAAGAGCCATTCCTGGCGTAAGCAGACATCATTGAGTTTAGAGACACAAGATTCCACTCCGGCATTGCCTCAAACACTGCCTTAGATTCTTCAACGCTCCCGTTTTGTGCGTGAATGGAGAGAATTGTGTTTGAGGTTACCACATTGGCTCTTGGAATCGATTTGAAAAGAAGCATTGCTTCGAGCATTTGTCCATTCTGGGCATATGCCGAGATCATAGAGTTCCATGTGTATATGTCTCGCTGTGGCATCTTGTCGAAACTGGATTTTGCCTTTTCTAGCAGCCCACGCTGACAGTATACTGCTAGAAGGGCATTCCATATCACGAGATCTCTTGATGGCGCAGAGGTGAACAGCCACTCGGCCATTGCCACTTCCCCTTTCTGTGCATTTGCGACGAGGATCGCCGTCCAAGTTAGCATGTCCCAAGCGGGCATCGTACTGAACATCGAATATGCTTCTCTCGTGCGGTTGTTTTCTGCGTAGGCACTCACTACAGCATTATATGAAACAACGCTATGACCAGGCATAGCATCAAAAATTTCTAGAGCATCAACAAGATGCCCAAACATGGCATATGCCGAAAGTAATGTGTTCCATGTCATAAGATCTCTCTCCTGCATGCTGTCGAAAAGCTTCTTGGCTTCCGCCACCTCTGAAAGCGATGCAAGCATGGCATTACATGTCACAAGATTTCGTGCAGGCATTTCTTCAAACAATGCCTTCGATTTTCCAATCTGCCCATGTTGGGCATATGCAGTCAGCATAGCAGTCCACGATACCAGGACCTTCTCCGGCATCTCTTGAAATATTTTCTCCGCTTTGACCAGATTCCCTTGCAGGGAATATCCAGTCAGCATGGTGTTCCAAGTTGTTGCGTCCCACTCAGGCATTGCGTCAAACAAGGCCTGTGCCATGTCAAGATGCCGAGCTTGGGTATAAGCCACCAACATGGCATTCCACGATACCACGTCCTTGCTTGGCATGCTTTCAAAGATTCTTCGTGCCTCTACAATATTCTCGTCCTTGGAGTAAGCAACCAGCATGGTGGTCCAGGAAAATTGATCCCGGCTTGGCATCTCACAGAAGATTTTCCTCGCCTTGTCAAGCTGCCTGTTTTGGGCATAAGCCAGAAGCATGAGGTTCCAGGAGAAGCCATCCTTGTCAGGAATCGAGTCGAAGACCTCGCGAGCAAGCTGGGTGCTCCCATACCGGCCGTACATCTTGATCAGCAAGTTCGCAGCATAAACGCTGTGTTCATCGCTATGAAGTTGACGATGAACTTGCCGGACTTCCTCAAGTGTCCTGCATGCTTTTATGGCTTGCATTGCAAAATCCCATGGAGAAGATCAGTCATGGCAGGCGTCAAAGTTGATGGAGCGCAGCGAGCTCCTCCAGCTCCTCAAATCCTGCCGCAGTCTCTCGGACGCCAAAAGGCTCCAGCTCAAATGCCAGCATCTAAATCTCTGCAACGATCTCCTCGTCTCAAACCGGCTCATTGAAACGCTCACGAGATGCGGGAGCACCGAGGGAGCCCGAGAGCTCTTCGATGGTATGGCCCTCAAGAACGTACACACCTGGGATTTCATGCTCGCAGCCTACATTCGCAGGGGGAGCATCAATCTCCATGCGGCCGAAGAGATCTTCCACGCCATGCCACAGAGAACTTTGATCTCGTGGACCTCCATGCTCCACTGCTATGCCCAGCTCGGGCATATAGACAGAGCAAAGGCCCTCTTCGATCAAATGCCCCAAAAGGATATCGTTTCATGCACAGCAATGCTCAAAGCATATGCCCAATGCGGGTACCTTGTCGACGCCAAGTCAGTCTTTGATAAGATGCCCTTCAAAGACTTGGTATCGTCAACCGCAATGCTAGAAGCATATTCCCAAGATGGAAGCGTGAGCGATGCTAGAGCCTTGTATGAAGAGATCCCACAACACACTCTTGTGTCTCTAAACGCCATGCTCCTGGTATATGCTCGAAATGGGCATATCCCAGATGCGAAACGAATCTTCGATGAGCTCTTGCCACACCGAGATCTAGTGTCGTGGAACACGATGCTGTGCGGCTATACACGAGAGGTGAATCCAGAAGATGCGTTGAGATTCTTTGGCGAGATCCCTCTATACACACTCCATTCATGCAACGCGATGCTCAACGCATATGCCCAGAAGGGGGATCCAGACGTTGCCAGGAGAATCTTTCAAACGATGGGAGCCCACGACCTGGTGTCAATGAACTCGATGCTGGCAATGCTCGCACGGATCGCGAGCGTGGAGGAATGCGAGAAGGTTTTCCGCTGGATGCCGGAGAGGAGCTTGATCTCTTGGACCTCGATGCTGGCGGCGTATGGTCAGGAAGGCGATCTCCACCGCGCGATGCAAGTCTTCGATGAGATGCCCGAGATCGATCTGGTGTCGTGCGCAGCAATGGTGGGAGCGATCGCGCAGTATGGAGATCCGTGGGAGGCAAGGAGAATCGTGAACGAGGCGATGCCGGAGCACAATCTCTACTGCTGGAACACGCTCCTGGCGGCGGTAGTGAAGAACAAGAGCCTGGCGGCGCCGTTGGAGGAGGCGGGGCACATCTTCGATGCAATGCCCCACCGGGACCTCATCAGCTGGACACTTCTCCTCTTCTCGCTCGCCCAGCACGGCAGCGACCTCGATCGGCCCAGGCAGCTCTTCGATCGAATCCCTGTCCACGATCTCGCCTGCTGCAATGCTATGCTCCTCGCCTACGCCCGCCATGGCGATCTCCTCCACGCAAAGCGATTCTTCGATGCGATGCCCCAGCGCGACATCGTCTCCTGGAACACGATCCTCGCGGCGCTGGGCTCAAAATCTCTGTTCGAAGCGATGCCCCAGCGGGACCTCACCTCCTTCTCGCTCGCCGGGCGCCTGGACGACACCATCGATGATCTCCCCTGCGCAATTCCCCCCGGCGACCCCGACCCTAATCCCTGGAACGCGATTCTGCTCGCCCACGCGCGGCTGGGCCGGATCGAGCACGCCAAGCACATCTTCGATCGCATCCCCGATCGAAACCCCATCTCCTGGGCGATGATGGTGGCCGCATTTGCCGCGGCCGGGCATCTCGCCCACGCCAAGCGCGCCTTCGATCAAACGCCCCACCGCGACCTAATCTCCTGGAATGGCATCCTCTCCGCCTACACGGGGAATGGCCACCTGGCCCAAGCGCGCCACCTGTACGAGAGGATGCCGTACCGCGACACCGTGACCGCCAACGCGATGATGGCCGCCTTCGCCACCACCGGCCACGCCGCCGATGCGCTCCACGTGTTCTACTCCGCCAGCGCCGCCGCGGCCGACGGCCCCGATGCGTCGAGCTTCGTCTCGGCGCTCGCCGCCGCCAGCCACGCGGGTAGGGTTGGCCTGGGCGTCGCGCTCTTCGCGTCCATGGCGGCGGATTTTGGGATCGCCCCTGTCCAGCAGCATTGGTCGTGTATGGTGGATCTCTTCGCGAGATCGGGGCATCTATGGTGCGCGGAGGAGCTGCTTGCCCATATGCCCTTCGCGCCGGATGCGCTCGAGTGGAGGAGCTTGCTTGCCGGCGCGTCTAGGGTTGGGGGCGCCGGGGGTAGCGGCGATGCGGCGGCGGCGCTGGCGAGCTTGGATGATGCGAGCGGCGGAGGGCACGCGCTGCTCGCAAACCTCTGTTCTAGGGTTTAATTTGGCGCGAAAAATATATTTCAATGCAAGATATTCTTACGTACTTGATTATTCGGGGAAAAGATTCTCCAGGAACATTCTCTATGCGGTCCCATTCTTGAGACCCGGGGGTACAAACCGGCAGACGCGAGCATCCGTGTAAACTCTCCCCGGCCTGCAAAAGTAATAGTTCTCGGGAGCGCAGTGAGAGTCGAGCGAGCAAACACACACTCCCTCTAGAGCACAGTGTGGAAGATTACTACTACTCCCACCAGAGATTCCAAGCGCAAAGTCGGACCACTCGCTCGAGAAGAAACCATCCGGATCAAGCTTGCTCTTCACCGCCAGGAACTCTTGCAGCTTGGGATACTTGGCAACGGTGCGAGGCCCAAACGCGATGTTCCTGTTCTTCCCCCAGTGCGGGAGGCCTCCATACTTGAACAAGGCCATCTGTTCCACCTCTTCCAGCACGTCCTCGTCCAGCCTGGGAGTGTTCCCGCTGCGAGCTCGGTAGTAAGTTATGTCCACATCGACTGCGTCGGATTGCTTTCCCAGGTATGCGGACGAGGCTCGGACGTAGCGCATGAGGAAGCCATTGTAGAGGTCCACTCCACACAGGGCGGCGGGATTTAGAGCTCTGAGTTTCTTGACGTCGGTGATGAAGTCCTGGATCTTGTCCACCGAGATGGAGACGGTGGTCTGATGGTAGAACAGGCCTCTCACGGTGGGATCCCAGGGACAGACGAGTTGTCTAGAGGTTGAAGCCTGGCAGGCACCGGAGGACTGGATCTTGTGGTGGAAACCAACGACCGGGTAGCCTGTGAAAACTCCACCTGAGCTTTTCTTGAAGCCTTCCCCAGTAGTGAAAAGAACTTGAGTTTGCACCAATCCAGTGGCACACTTCCCAGGAGAGTCACCTGATATCTCGAAAGCTTCCTCTGTAAGAAAAAGAGTACTGAGTCGCTACTGTTTTATCAAACGGAAACAGTACGTACCGAGAGCTCTTTGAGCTTCAACTATAGTGGTTAGCGTCGGTTGAAATCCAATGAAATCATTCACGCCGTCTCCGCTGGTACTTGCAGGAACACGGTCGTCTGCTCTGTAGATGAGTTTGTACTTCGATGGAATCCAAGAGACGTCTCCAAACTCGTGGTTCTTCCCAAACTCTAGAATCTCTTTCTCCAGATTCACGTCGGAGGCCTCAAACTTCGTCACCGATCTCTTGAATATCGGCTGCAGTGCCAAAGTCACCTGTGATATCACTCCCAGAACTCCGAGTGAGACCTTGGCAGCATTCATAAAATCTTCGTCCTGCTCAGTGATGTTGACAACTTTCGCAAAACCTTCCTTCTCTGGCGCTGGAACGACCATCGTCATCGCTTTCACATACTCGTGAACGGCACTTCCTTTCCCGAACAAGGAACTTCCATGAGACCCTGTGCTTAACAGCCCTCCAAGCGAAATCCCGTTCCAATAAGGCGACGAAGGAAGAGCCAGGCCGTGCCTTCCAATCTCCTGCAAAAGCCTCGAGAGCTCTACACCACTGTCCGCCGTTACAGTCATGGAGCTCGCGGTCACCACTATTCTGCTGGAGTATTTTGCCGTGCTGATAACAAGGCCAGAAGTCCCTCCAGGACACGCGAACTTGGGAATGCTGTGAGCTGAATTGCTCACAACCTTCATCTTCATCCTGTTCTTCACACCGTGTGCGACTATATCAACCAGCTCCTGCTCCGTGGAGGGAAACGCTACTTCCCCTACCTTGCAAAGGCTCCTGTCCGGCCAAGTTCCATATGCGTTGAAAACCATGCACGCCCCGGTTGCAACATCGCAGCGAACTGGAGAAAGTGGAGCTGCAAGCACGACATTAGTCGCGAGGACCCAAAGGAGCAACGCAGCAGCAGGAGGCAACATTGGCACAGAAAACTTGGAGCTCATCGTCTCAAACACGGATCTTCCGAGTTTTCACAAATGACTATTGGAAAAGCATTTCAACAAGAAGCATGATCGACACCGAGGAACTAGAAACAGAAAATTAAAGGGAGAAACTTCTGTGCAAGCAGTAAATCTGGAAAACAGCTGTAGCATTACAAGGAATCCACGACCAACGTAAGTTAACAACAACGACGACAAGAAGCTAAAGGCAGAGCAAAGCAAGCAAAGAAAAGAAGTACCTCGAAAGTCAAAAAGTACTGGCAGTAGTTACTCGCCCTGCGACGCGATCAATGTCCCCTTGCTCATGCTCAATAAAGGAAAAGAGTGTGTATAAACCCTAAAAAGCGGCCTACCGACATATTATGATACACAGCCAACTTGCAAACTTGTTAAGATCGAGCTATGACTGGGCAAGTGAAGGCATGAACTAGAGCTTGCTGAGAGTTTTAGAAGGCAAGCGCGTAACGAAAGCGTCGATTGCTCTCACTTCCAGTGGCCAGGGCGGTTGGCGGATCCAGGTACTACGTGAAGGAGGTGAACGAACCGCGCGAAGACGTCATGGTTCGCTGCGAGCGCTGCCCCGTCTTCCTGCTGGAGGTTTCAGGTCCGCTCTTGAAGATCGCAGGCGCGGCCGTATGCTTCCAGTCCAGTGACCGAGCCGCTCAAGATGGGCCTGATGGTGCGTAGAAGCAACTTCGAGGAGATGGATGCTCTATGCCGGATGGTGGTGGCCTTTCGCATATCGCTGGACAGGCTCGCATCTCTGCAGGAGGACGTAGGCGGCATGGACCGGCTTGGCAGCAG